CGGCTCCGCCCCGCAGCTGCCAGGTGCCCGGGTCTGGAGCGAGGGCAGTGCCGCGTATCTGTCGATTAATAAGGAGGAGGAGGAGGAGGAGATGATGGAGATGGAGGATGAGGAAAAGGGGGAGGAAGAGGAGGAGGGGGATGAGAAGGAGGCGGAGGAGGATGAAACGGTGTGGTTAGGTGACAGTTTCCTGCAGTCGGTCCTGATCGGCGGAAGACCTCCGTTCTCCCGTGCGGCTCTGAGGAATCGGTTCATCTCCTCCTTCCCGCGACTCCTTCGTCGATCTATACAATTATCAGCATTCAGGTCATTGTTGTCGGAGCAGGAGGAGGAGGAGGAGCAGGAGGAGGGGAGGAGGAGGAGGAGGAGGAGCAGGTGAACACGGGCTGCTTTAACACACCATACAAACGTACCAGAGGTTGAGTGACGGCTCACTCAAAAACGCGCATGCGCACTAGTCCAGTTTTTGGGGATTCGAAAACCGGATCGAATAAAATGTGTCACGTGGTAAAACGAACATTCACACACTGTCCAATCGACACTATAATCCCCGATAAATAAAGGACCAAAGACCGGGCATCGAACCCGTGACCTTATATCAACTCATAAGGGCCCACTGTCATAGCCTTCCTCGGGGCCCCAGAATTCCTTGCAGCACCCCTGCATACACAAGACATTAGAACAATAATAATTATAATATTTATTTATATATTTATTTTTATATTTATTGTTACAGTATATGTGGTACAATAATATAATTATAACAATATTGATAATAATAACTAAACTAATAAAAAATTCAAAAAAGTCATTTGTAAACTCCCGGGAAACATGATGCGAGTCGACCCCAAAAAAAGAGGGTCGCAACCCAGTCTTTGGGAAACAATGCTGTAGACAGGTAAGAAGGGGGCTCCGAGGGCCCCTCACTGATGGGGACCGTGTGTAGCTCCTGATGCAAAGAGAATATAATGAGAGTAGATGTGCTAAAGAAGCCTGTCCTCCTCATCTGTCATACAAAACAGCATTCAGGTGTCAACTCCATCCTCTTCTCTTTCTCTCCAAAAGTCTATTTTTAAAGGGTAGGGCCTCACTGCAATGCCTCATCTTTAAACTCGTGCAGCCCATGGTTTGTACACAATGTTACACCAATTAAAGGGGGGGGGGGGGTTTGGGGGGGGGGTGAGGAGGGGTGTCAGACATAGTACACATACACAGGTCCAGGAGGCGTGACGTGTGTTGTACAGTATATATGTGAAGTACAGCATCAACACAGAGTCAAGTACAGGTAAACCAGGGAACCAGTACTGAAAGGGAACCAGTCAGGGAACCAGTACTGAACCAGGGAACCAGTACTGAACCAGTACTGAACCAAGGAACCAGTACTAAACCAGAACTGAACCAGAGGAACAAGTACTGAACCAGATGCCACCAGGGGGATACACTTGTGAACCAGGGGAACCAGTACTGAGCCAGGGGAACAAGTACTGAACCAGGGGAACCAGAACTGAACCAGTACTGAACTAGGGGACCAGAACTGAACCAGTACTGAACCAGGGGAACCAGAACTGAACCAGTACTGAACCAGGGGAACCAGAACTGAACCAGTACTGAACCAGGGGACCAGAACTGAACCAGGGAACTAGTACTGAACCAGTATTAAACCAGGGACCCAGTACTGAACCAGAGAACCAGTACTGAACCAGGGGAACCAGTACTGAACCAGGGGAACCAGTACTGAACCAGGGGAACCAGAACTGAACCAGTACTGAACCAGGGGACCAGAACTGAACCAGGGAACTAGTACTGAACCAGTATTAAACCAGGGACCCAGTACTGAACCAGAGAACCAGTACTGAACCAGGGGAACCAGTACTGAACCAGGGGAACCAGAACTGAAACAGGGACCCAGTACTGAACCAGGGACCCAGTACTGAACCAGGGAACCAGAACTGAACCAGGGAACCAGTACTGAACCAGGGGAACCAGTAGTGAACCAGGAGAACCAGTACCGATACGACTGAAAACCGAGCCCTGAAATCAAAGTGAACCAGCAGGGGTCAGGTGTTTTTGTGTGACCCGTCCAGCACCAACATGGTGGACCTGCTCCCCTTCTCCAGGAGGAGGACCGTGTCCAGAGCCTCATGTTGTCCCATAAACTCAGCTCAGCATCAGTGGTAAGACAACAGTTCTTCATTTGTCTGACAAAATATTAATCAACCCCAGGTTGAAGTTCTGGACTCTCCAGAACTGGTCGTTGACCACCAGGTCACGACCTTGCACCTTTGTCTGGTCTAAGGACTAAGATCCAGTTTCTTTTTAAATGTTCAAAAATAAAAATAAAAAACCAACAGATTGATGTTCTGGAGCAGAACATGTTACACAGCTGCAGTACCGGGTTTCCACTCAAGGGTGGATTTGTAAACTAGCTAACTAGCATTACAAGGAATGGATTTGTTCCACGTTAAAAAAAAACAAAACAAAAAACTCCACCACTGCAGTTAAATGTTGTTTTTTGCCATTGTTTTCATGTTTGTTTTAATTTGAAAATCTGAACTCATTATTTTGAAAAATCTATATAATATATATAATAATAATTATAATAACAATAATAATAATAATAACTATAACAATAGTAATAATACTACTAATAACAATAATAAGAATAGAAATAATAATAATAACAACAACAATAATAGCAATAATAATAATAATAACAATAGCAATAATGATAATAGTAATAATAACAACAACAATAATAATAATAATAATACTTAATGTTATCTCATCAGTCAGACTAATTCTAATTCTGATTTGATATTTTGCAAATATTTCAAAATGACTATTTCTAAATGTTAGCTGCAGCACGACGTCCTGATGTGAAGTAAACAAGTGGGAAGAAAACGGATCCACGGAGCAGAACGTGTTCTGCGTCGGCTCCTCGTTCGCTCCTCGTTCGCTTGAGTTCATACAGTTCATGTTTGTGTTTCAAAGATCGTCTGCTCTCGCTACACACACACACACACACACACACACACCCACACATGCACACACACACACATACACACACATACAATGCATGGAATAGACTTAGATACTGTAGATAAATAGAAATTTGTCCTCATTAACTAGGTTTGTTTTTGTGTACTTGTGGGGACGTTTTTGCCAAAACACTATTATGGGGACATTCTCTTGTGGTTGAAGATTTAGTTTAACGTAAGGATTGGAATTAGTGTCAGATCAGAGTTAGTGTTAGGATTAAGATTAGACATACATTTGTAATAGTCACGGTTAAACTACGCGGCTACGACATGCATTATTGATATGATAAATATTCGCTAAGCACAAAAACCAGCATGTGTGTGTGGGTGGGGGGGTTAGTGGGGCGACGTTATAACAGTCAACAAACATGAACACACACACACACTTGTACTTTGACATGCACAGTCTTTTGGTTGTTTGCCAAATATGTCTGAGTAAATATAAACAGCATTTATCTCTCTGCAGTCCTGAGGTCACTCGTTGACATGACCTTTGACCCCTTACGAAATATGGTTAGAATGTCAGAAAAAAAGAAAAATAGAATTCTAACCCAGTCAAAAAAAAAAAAATCTTATTATTATATTTTTTAACAATATCAAAATAAAGCTTCATCCTGCAGGATGATTTTTTTTGGGGGGGGGGGACCACAAACATTTGTGACCCAAGTCAATAGACATTATTTGTAAACTCCCGAGAAACATGATGTGAGACGACCCAAAAAAAATTTCTTGTGACCCACCTGAGGGTTGCGACCCAGTGTTTGAGAAACAATGCTGTAGACTGTCCCTGCTACGCAGAGAGACTCAATCATTTTTCTGCCCTAGGTTTGAGAGATTCAACCTTTTTTTTTTTACCCCTGTTGGGTAAAAAACAAAGAAAGAAGAACTTTTTTTTGTGGAGCAACAAAGAGACTTCTGGGAAATCACCGCGCTCCAACTGACACCAAACATCATCCGTCACCGCAGCACCCGGGAAAATCTGATACATGACACAACTCTCCAAACAAAGCTGGGTAAAATGTCACCGTTCAAAGGTTCCGTTCACACACACACACACTCAGGTCTGTTCCTTCCCTGTGATTGGCTGAGACACGTGAAACCATAAGGCCCTGCGGTTGGACACGCCCACAGACAGGTGAAGCAGCACTGGATCCCACTGCAGGGTCACTGCACGGCTCAGTTCTCACGGCAGCTCTCTGAGGACAGAGGGACAACTGGGGACCAAAACCAGGGACCAGGACCAAGACCAGGACCAGGACCAGGACCAGGACCAGGACCAGGACCAGGGTGTGATGACAGAGCAGATGTCTCAGGAACATGGCTGGAGGAGCAGCAGAGGAGGCTGGAAACAGGAGGAGGGGGAATATCAGTGAGTGTGTCGGTGCTGAAACAGGACTGCAGGGGGAGCACTGATCTCCAGTGGAAAAGTTCCAAGACAGGCGTTCGGGTCTGTCTCCGATCACTTTTATCGATATCCTGTCAATTTCTGTTACCTCAAACGTGATCCAAACGTCAGAGTTCTCAACTTAAATGATTCCTGACACAACCCAACCTGAGGTTCAGGGACCAGGTGTTGAACCCGGAGCAAAATTTCAATGGAAAACATTCAATTATTGTTGCTTTTTATCCAGAAATGAAATAATATTTTTAAACATCAGTCCTAAGAAGAGTTCAATCTTTTGAAGTTTCGCAAAAAAGACGAGTTTTCTTTTCAAAAAACGACTAGTAACGACAAGATCAACAATAAGACACGTCCAACTAGGGACGACTGATTAGGTCAGGCTAGGTCTCCGCAGGTACCAACGTCGCACTGTGAGATTGTGGGCAGTACAGTTTATATTATGGTGCATCCATTAACTCATTGTTTCCCAAAGACTGGGTCGCGACCCTCACGAGGGTCCCAAGAATTTTTTTTGGGGGGTCGTCTCACATCATGTTTCCCAGGAGTTTACAAACAACGTCTATTGACTTGGGTCGCGAAGGTTTGTGACTTTTTTTCGTCAAATCTTTTGACTTCCTTTTCTCCTCCCCAACAGTTCCGACATCGAGAACGTGGCGGAGGAGAATCAGAGAAACGGCCGAACTGTTCACGAACTTGTGCAGGCCGCAGATCCTGAGTTGTCCAGCAGGAGGAAACCCGCCTTAATCAGGTAAACGAGCAGACCTGCGAACACGGAATTGAAAACTAAAAAAAAATACTGGAAAAAACCTGGAGAAGGCAGTGAAACAGTTCTGTGAGCGGAACCGAGTGCAGAACATCAACAGAGGAGAACGTGACTTCATCAACAGACCACAGCTACTGACTAATTACATTCATTAATCATTGATGTTTGGTCTGTAACAGGAGTGACTGAAGCTGAGGATCAGTTTGGTTTCTGTAGCTCTGATTGGTTCTTGAACTCGAGTGTGTATATATGTATCTACATACATATATATGTATATATGTATATTAATACATATATGTATATATGTATAAATATACATACACGTTTACATATATACATATATGTATATATGTAAACGTGTATGTATATTTATACATATATACATATATGTATAAATATACATATATACATATATGTATTAATATACATATATACATATATATGTATTTACATACATATATACATATATGTACATGTACATATATGTGTATATATATATATATATACAGTATATATACATATATATGTGTATATATGTATACATATATACACACACATATATATCTGATTGGTTCTTGAGCTGTTAGAATTCTCCCTGATGCCGATTATGTATATCTATACATGTATGTATCTATATGTATAGTGTGTATATATATATATGTATAAACATATTTATATATATGTTGTATACAGGTGGTCCTCGGTTTATGACGTCCTCTACTTACAGCGTTTTACCAAGAACGTTTTGTTCCATCATTCCGACCTCAACAGCTAGCTCCGTTGAGTTTCGTCGCACCCTAGTTACAAAACTCCGACGTAAGTCGAGGACCCCTAGTGTTTGAAACACGACCGATGTAATAAATAATGTCGTGTTTGTCTGCGTGTCGATCCCGCTGCAGGTCAAAGACCTTCGACCACTCGCTGCTGACTCAGGTCCAGACCGAGCCGGACTCCAAGCTGGACCGGAAGAAGTCTCACTACAGCCAGGTGAGTTTCCACCAGGGGGCAGCAGTGAGTGACATCACGCCTCAGATCTGCTGAACGGAGCGTCCTAATCTCAGGGACGATCGCTGACACCGACGCAAAGACGGGACAAACGAGTTAGCATTTATGTTTGTCTTTGAAAAACAGCTGACTCTTCTGAGTACAAAAGTACACCGAAGTACACGGAGATTAGTGGTACGTGACAACTGCAAGACTTCAATCAAGCCGATACTGATATCGATACCTTTTATGGATTAGGGTATTATTTGTTGTTGTTTGAACACAATGCGCTCGACATCGTCTAGCCGAGTCGGATTTTTTTGGTCTGCCTGGCAACGCTGAGTCACATGACGAAAACATCAAATAAAGTATCGATATCGTTATACTGGTACCAGTTGATATGACATCGATACTCGTAACGATGTCAACATCTGTATTTTTACCTAAAAATTTCAAACAGAAAATTTAATTTTTGAGCAAAACTCAATGTTTTATTTACAATTACGTTAAGTTTTTACCTAACTATGTGGACGCAATGTCTCACCTATAACTGTGTGTGTGTGTGTGTGTTTCAGGTTTCAAAGGGCAACTGCCAGTACCATAAAATATTCAAGGAGATCAGCAAAGAGGAACAGCTGAGACAAAGTAACTCTTCCACCATCACATCTTCAACTGTAAACAAAGCGTTAGCTAAAGGCTAACGCCTTCATGTTAGCCACCGAGGCTAATGTTACACCAGTGAGACGTTTTGTTTGCGGAGGACATTAATTTGATCAACGCTCACTCTTCGGCCCCTTATCATCAGCCCGCAGCGGCTACTTTAGCTTAGCGACATGCTAATCCAGCTCACAATGTCAATTCCCAGGTGTTTACAGTGGCTCAGAACAGGCTCTAAGGTCAATCATAGTGGGGTGGAGGGGGAT